AAAACCGCCCTATTTTAAAGGTAGAATGACAGTTAGTGAAGACTAGCTTAGAACTTAAGGCTCACACTTGTAAAAATTAGTCTACAGGGTGTCCACAAAGTCTGGGTACATACAAATTTTAATATTTTATTTATTTATCTTATCTTTGTTGGGATGGCAGGGCCCCATGATTAGTCAACAACGCTTAGGCCTCAGCGCAGCTGCAGCGCAAAGCCCCACGCCGTGGCTTGATAACGCGTCAATAATTATCGATTTTCCGTCTATCTGATTGGACCGTGAATACTGACGCCTCCTCGCTATGCGCACTGAATAAATGACCTAGAGCCTTTTTCTGTGACTGACTTGCACTCTTGCGCATTGAACTATGCACTGCAAATAATGGAAATCATCTTGGAAATATAATTTCTTAACATTATAATTAAATAAAATTGTTTTGTTCTAAAGGTATTTATTTATCCCCTATGTACCCAGACTTCGTGGACACCCTGTATCATACCTCAGTTTCAATTGCCTTTCCCTTTTCTACTCCGCAAGCACCATTCTCACAAATTATTTGATTTAGGTAAATTAAGATTTAAAAAAAGGATATCAAGGACGGTATTTTTCAGTTCTCTCTGACCAAATATGTCTTCTCCAGCTACCAAAAGCAAACTACCTTTCACATTTTTGTGTTGCCTTTCAGGAGTTGAAGCCATTTGCTCCTACTGAGAAGAGAATTTTACTATTTATTGCTACCTCTCGTGTTGGAGCCATACAGACAAAGAAGAACAAAACTATGAGTCAGGGTGATAATGGCATCCATGCTGATTTCACTCCTGTCCGTCGCCCACTGGCGGCTGCTTGCGTGGACATCACCAAGGATCTTATTCCCATTTTGCTGCCTCGTAAAAAACAAATTCTTTCTGCAACGGCACGACTTGCCAACAAACGCCGAAAGGAAAACAATCAGTCTTCACGTGCTGTGTTCCTCACCAGGTAAACAATAGATTTCATCCGGTTCTTTGGTGTGTTCGTATTTCGAAAAAGGAATCTACTATGTGTTTCAAGTGTGCCCCTTTTCTGGTTTTTCCTGGCTTATATTCCTTCTGATCTGTGCTTTGCCTCCAGTTGCAATGAGGAGTATCAAGACGAGTGTTTCCTCAGACTCTGCAAAGAAACACCAAGCTCGTTTGTGGACTTTGTTAATCAGTCTAGTACCCCAGCTGTTCAGTCCGACCAGACGGGAAATGCTGCCCTTCCTCCACTTGCCAACTCCGCTCTTGGCGCACAGAGTCCGAATATTGTTGATCCTGCGGTTGGCGAGTCACTTGAAATCGAAATTAAAAATATTCGACCTGTGGATCTACAGCCCTACCACGTGAGTGACACTCCATATCCGTTTTCCTTTAATTACATATTTCTTGCTGTAGTTTAATTATAAGGGACTGGATTAGTAGTGTAGAACCGAATCGCTAACTTTTTGAGAAATAACTTTTTTGCTAAGTTTCTT